TATAAAACAAAGCTCAACTACAAAGCCTTAAAGGTTACACTAGGAAAACAGTACCAATAAATAGAGTACAAACCTTTAAACAAACTATAACCACGATCGGTATTAATACAGAAACAGTTTCTTGCCAAAATCTTCGATCTATCATGTGTAAAATAAACACCACGCTCATCGACGCCATGTTCGAAAAAAAAGACGGAAATTGTACGCCTAAATTCGCTACTTTCCCAAAAGGCACTGGAAACTAATAACTTTTTGACCCAGTCATTAACTCACCTGAGTGTCCGGATCAATTACACATTGTTGATCAACTTCTCGAAATTGCTGACCATGTTCTTCAGCCTCCTTTCTCTGACTATAGATCCATCCTGGAGATTCCCTTAACAAATCTCTAGGCAAAGCTCTTACCGTTTCAAACCAATCCACTGCTTCATTGTGAATTGCGTACGCAAAGCCGTAGCGAGGGGGGGGGGCATTGGGGGGTGGTTAACCCCCCATCTTTTGTAGAATTAACATATTCGGAAAATCGGGTTGGCCATTCGGAAAATTACGGCAATAATAGTATAACAAAATTTTAGTTGTTAAACAGAGAAAATATAATATAATTGTATTGTGAGTATAAACTGATTTACGAAATCATGGCATTTACATGGATAACATTTAACAAATCGTAAATCGGTAAATGTTTTTCGGTTTATTACTTCTCAGGGCCGTAGCAATAATTTGCTAATAATCATTCTTTTTTCAAAATCATGCAGACCTTTATCATTTAAATAATATACCTTTAAAATACTGACAATTTAATCTTAAGCCGCTACATTATCCATGACAAACTGCAAAGAATCATATTACCCATACTTTCCTGCAACTTCCCCGAAATATAGGTTAATTAAATACGCCTTGTGAACAAATTGTAAATTTCGACAAGCTACTAAAACGCTGTTTTCTGACCATCAGAATTCTGTCAAAACTTCCTACCAAAGTCCAGGAAATGGCATTTCAGAGACTCTAAATTTAAAAATTTCCTCGGGCCTTCGGCCCTCGTTCTCAACCCCCAATCAAAAAGAGCTTTCTACGGCACTGCATGCTGCTGTAATATGTCTGTGCGTAAAATATGCGTATTTTTGTTTGTAAATTGCGTCTTCATTTTCCGGATAGCAAACACCTTCGTGGCTTCGCCAGGCCATGAAATATTCGGAAATTTTTTTCGTCATTCGGAAATTTTTGGTCTACGACAACATGTTGAGTCCACTAAACCATCTTGGCTGTTGATCTTTCACCCGTACTTTTTTGAACAGTTGAAAAACCAGTAGCCAAGATGGTGTAGTTGACTCAACCTGTTGTCGTATGTTTGGAAACCTAGGTTCGTTCCCTGTTCAGGTCAACATTCGTTTCGCTGTTGTATTTGTACTAAGTAACTTGTCTCGTAACTTGTCTCGCAATGTTAAGAAATACGATTTCAACATTAACTCTTGACGAAGGGCCTTCGCTCGAAACGTCGAGTTTCTGCTTGTTTTTTAAGGTAGTAATATAACCACTCAGCACAGCAGATTTCAGCATTGCATGGGATGTTACACCAAGCAACATGTCCCATGCGATGATGATAGTATAAAAACCGCGAGTGCTAACGCCATTCAGTGTATAAACATCGCGAGACAAATAGCATAGTCTGACAGCGCTTTAAAGGGTTAAATAAAATCAAAAGTACTAGCTAACAGGCAACAGCCACGGTGGTCTAGTGGTCTCGCTTAAGTGTCGCATGTGGGTGAAGTCAGGTACGTTTCCTGCCCTGACGGGGACCTTTTGGTCTTTGTGAGGGGTACTAATTAATTATAGGGTAAAGACAAAGGATTTGCTATGATAGAAAACGCTAAGCTTTCACCAATAGACCTAGTAGTCTAGCGGTACCGCTCAAAGCCTATAGGTGCTACGGTGGAAGGATCGAGCCCGGTTAAGACTGGCTGAGACTTCGTGCTCAGGTGATCGATCTGACCGGCTGTATGCGGAATGGGCAAAAATTCGGGGGTTCCGTTTCCCCGAAAAAATGAGAAAAAAAAGCCTAAAGTAACTTGCTCTAAGAGCAAAGCAAAAAGACTTAGTAAATTTTCCCAGGCCCCCACCCCCGGGGGCCTCCCCCTTCTTCCTCCACACCTGCTGTCATATTCTAAGTCTACCGCGCATGCGCCAACCATGGTAACCACTAAAGATTAATTTCATTGGTAGTATTTTCGTGAAACATTTGCCCGGCCGCAATTTTCTTTTGTATTCTTCTCCTTTCGTCCGCCATCTTTTCTCTTTATTATTCCTTCACTCGTCCTCGAACTGATCCTGATCTACACGACATTGGCTTTATACAGTCCGATATCGCTACCATTAGACCACTACCGCAACTTATTCACCTTAACCTTTTTTCTCTAGCTTGTGTAATTAATAATCGACACATTTTAAGTCACAAAATGACTTTTGTAGGACTTGAACCACAATGGTACATTACACAGCCTATAGTCTTAACCATTAGACCACTTGCTCGTTGTTGGATGCCTACCGTAACTTATGGACCTTATATTTTTTTGCTCTAGCTTGTATGATTAATATTCGACACATTTCGAATAACAAAATGACTTCTGTCGGATTTGAACGACAACGGTACATTACATAGCCTATAGTCTTTACCACTACGCTACTTGCTAGTTGTGGGAAGCCTATCGCAACTTATTCACCTTAACATTTTTCGCTAGATTGCATAAATAATATTCGACATTTCGCAAAATCACTTCTGTAGACTGTAGGACTTGAAATACAATGGCACATTACACAGCCTGTATAATCTCTACCAATAGACCACTTGCTTGTTGTTGAAAGCCTAGATGTATTGCAAGTTGAAAGCCTACCGCAAGTCGCTAGATTAGTCGTACTGCCACAACCATTGCAACGACATGGGCCATATTTTTGTATCATTAATGAGATGAATTATTCTATTATTTTGTTGCTTCTGCGCGGTTCTTGCTGAATAAAGCTGTATATAATACTGAAAAGTGTCCTGGAAAGGACCATGCATGCAAAGCTTGCGTGGTTTTGGGTTAGATTCCCGGAGCATTTTATGTCTCCATATACAGCTTCCTTCGCGCAACTCCATGTATGCAAGCTATGGGGTCCCCTCATGATGTAACTTATCATGGCTGACATGCCAATGATAGTATTGTTTTATATAGGAAACGAAATGCATAATAAACCGCAAGGTTTGTTACTGTTACTGTACCAGGAATTGACCGAATATACTGTTGTAATCACCCAGTCACAATTACGTAAAAGTTATGTTTCTTCCACAACGGAGCTTTTTAAATGACATTATCAACAGTGTCCTCGATGGGAGTAATTTATGGGGACTATGTATTCTTGTGTGATTTTGGTTTAGATTCCCAGAACATTTTATGTCCATATACACAGCTGCAAAAGAGCAATTCCAATCATTCGAGTTTGGGCCTGTTAAATATATATTTGAGAAAAATTAACTAAAACAATATGTCACACAAAACAGATTCTTGCATCAAATACGATATAGCTACAAGTTCTTGCATGGCCATGCCCATGCTCAATCATGATTTTCGGAAATGCGAATACAATTTATATTTTGTGAACTCAAGAGGCTGTGTGTATCAGATATACAAACTCCAGACAATTTCACCACTGTGAAACGTAGTGATTTCAATAGTTCTGTTAGCAGATACTATTGGAGAAAATCGAGGAAACAGTTTTATAGGCAAATCAGGAGAATTTTGTATATGTGGATACAAAATTATGTATATGTGGATCAACAACATCTTTGGTTTGAATTTTTCTTCATTTTTCTTTATTCGTCTTGTATTCAATAATATCATGAACTGGCTGCATCATCTTTGGACGTTGTTTCTCGATATTGTTGGCGTTAATTTTGTCTTTACTTCCAAGCGAAAGAATTTCTTCGTTGCTTCTTGCCCCGTGATATTTTTTGCCAAATCCATGCATTCAACTCTTCTTACGTAATTCATGTCGCCATGCTGTTTCAAACGCTTTTGATTGACCTTGTACGTTTTGTCAATTTGGCCAAGAAAGACTACCATGCATGCACGTTGTTTCTTAGTTTCTTGGCAAACACTTCCAAGATTGCTTTTTCTTGGGCCTTTTTGGTGTTGGCTTGTAGATCTGGGTATACCCTGGGTATATAGTATTTGCCACCCCCCTCCCCTCAAAAATCTAATGGTCCATCCTTTACCTAAACATAGATCACGGCACCGCCCACAAACGTTTCCAAAGTCGCTCTCAGACATAAAGGAATTTCAATGTCGCGATTAGCACGTTTGATTTTGAAATAGTATAAAGCGCTTATAGACATATTTTTAAGTCTCTGTAGTTTGAATCTGTGAAGATTGATATTCATTCATAAAAATTCAAAAAAAAATTGCTTCAAATATTGAAACTAAACGATATTTGCTATTTTAAAATCAAACGTGCTGGTCCAGACACAGCCTCGTACCCAGGCGCAAATAACGTACTAAAAATAGCAACACTACAGTGTTTTTATATGATCAGTGGCTAAGCTGATCTTTATGTCCAAGCACCCGCGCGCGCTCGTTCAGCTTAGCCACTGATCTATATAAAAACACTGTAGTGTTGCTATTTTTAGTACGTTATTTGCGCCTGGGTACGAGGCTGGTTCAAACCAATAATAGTTTAATTTATAGTACACAGACAAAATATGCATATTGCAATAAAAAAGGTATTCATTAGTTTCCATTCAGGAAATTTTTGCATCTGCATTTGCCTGAAAGTGCAGCATATATACATTTCATCACTTAGGAAGCCCAAGCTTGGAGTTCTGCCATGTCATCATCATCTATCACAGCAACTTTCTTTCGTTCTCGACCTTAAAAACAGTAATCATAACATGTCAGTACCTCTTAAGTACCACTATGATATAACTTTGTAGTAAAAAAGTCGTCATCTTGATAAAATGTTTCACAGTCAAGGTTGCTGGATATCATCAGCTGAATTTCAGCAGCAAAAAACTAATTTGCAAATATCTAATTTCATTACAATATACCCAGCAATTTGTATGCTGAAAATGTCAATAAAGATTTACTTAGGGTTTTGGTGCACGAAGATGTGTACCCCTCCTAGCTTTGTGTGTATGTATATGTCAATTTTCTTACCACCATGTTTATGTTGATAATTTAATTCACATAATTGGCATATTTATATTTTGTCAGTAACTCAAGAAAGTTTACCCAATAGCATACAGGGACAGAATGAAATGTTTTGGTGGCCAACTATCCCACTCCCTATGCTGTCGTGCTTAGGACTAAGGTTGAGAGCAATTCTGCGTGCCATTTCAAAGATGCCATTCGTGCTTTCATTGAACAAGACGCTCCGTTGAGCGTCACTCTCCTCCGCAGAGATTTTGGCATAAACAATTATCATAAAGGTGCTGTAATACTGTACATGAACTGATAAGATACACTGAGTTTTCTGAACTATATAACGAAACGAGAATAGCCAAGTCACAACGGCGCTATAATACCTTAAGTTTACTGAAATTACGTAACATCGATTTAGGAATTAGGGTTTAATATACAGTGATTCTAAATAAAAGCGGTTGCTCTCGTAATTTTAAGCGGCGGTGAAATACAGTGGGTCAATATCTATACATTAATACATACCAAATTTTCTAAAATCATTCAAATTTACATTCTCGAGGATAGCGCCGTTGTGAACTGGCTGCATTAATTTCGGTCGTTCTTTCTTGATTCTCCCAGCTTTTTCTTCAACCTCAGGTTTGAGCGAAAGGATTTCCTCGTCGCTTCCATTGGAAATTATATTCCTCGCAAAATCCAGCGAGCTGTTCGTTTTTGCCAAGTAAGCTTTCACGACGGCTTGTTGTTTCACCAGGGGCTCGTTTGCTTCCTTGTATTTCATGTCAACCTGGTTAAGTAAGACTGCCGTTTCCTCCTCGAGTTCCGTGGTAAATGCTTTCAAAATTTCCTGTTGTTGCTGCATGATGGCGTCTTTGGCTTTCGCTTTGTTATTCTTCAGGGTTACCATGGCGTGTTCTAACTTCAGATTGCTTTGAACAGCTTCGTTCCTTTGCTGCTCGAAGATGGCGGACGATGTCTTCAATGCTTCCTTGTACTGTCCAACAACGTCTGCCAAAGGGAACCACGTATGTTCAGGGCGTATGTGATTCACATCAGTGCAGTGTCGACAAACAAGGACTTTGCATGTTTCGCAATAAAACTTGAAAACTTTATCGTGTTTTTCACAACGAGGTTTGCCTCTTGATTTCGCTCGGTTTTCAGGTTTTGCCAATTCTTCCAACGTCAACACGACATGGTCTTCAAAGGCAGGCCAGTTATTGTGGGCTTCTAAACATTTTCCACACAGGTAATTCTCACATGATACACATCTGCTGGTGGCAGAACCTTTGGCTTTACATGACTGGCATTTTATACGTTGGGCTTGTTGCTGTAGAGTGAGTAATTCCAGCATGTTGTTGATGAAGTGGTTTGACGGAATTTTCTCGACGTTTTCTTCTGCTTTGACGCGAAACTCCGTTCGGCATAATGGACATTCAAAGACCTCTGGTACTTTGGCTTTTGCTTTAACAGCTTTCTTACGGTGAGTCGCAACAAAGTTCTCTAAACAGTGTTTACAATACGAATGGAAGCATGACAACGTCCGTGGTTGTGTTAGTGTTTCATTGCAAATGGAGCACTCTAACAGCATCTCCCATTACTTCACAGGAGCAGGATCTGACGCAGTAGCCATACTGCTTTGCGTTTAGATATTGAATCACTTTCGCTTCTTACTCTGCTTTGTGCTTTATACCACCAAGATAGTCTTTCAATGCAAACGTCATTAAATACTGTTATTTCATTGGCTATAGTCATGACACGTAAGAGTGTGTTTCCTTTGCAACTGATCAAGCATATAATTCCTTGAATTCGAGTTAAATAAAACAACCAGTTGTTTATGGATAATTTTGCTACGCTTTGTCTACATCGATTCATGAATAGCTACTCTAGAAAGCATTTTTGGTGATTTTATTCCATCTGTGATTCCATCAATCGTGCTATTTCGTGAGCTTGATTTTGGTGTTATGAAATCAGTGTCCAATAGATATATCTCGCATTACAAGAAAGCAAACCTTCACGAATATATTATCTTGACCTTTTAACCTATTGCAAAATTGTTTTACATATGTAGTATTGCCATACTTTCACAGCATTTTGACGGATCACTATATTATGGTACATTGATTGCTGTTTTGGTCGGCCCTGGCGGAGTAAGCATGCATGCTAAATTAATTGGCAAAAGTAAAGTTTCAGTTTTGCGTTCGACTCACTTTATTCTATATATGCTTCAAATTAAATAGTAGAGCATCAACTTGTATAATCTTGAACTGTCTGTGCCAGTGTAGGTAGTGCCAATAATATTATTAACAAGCTTTCATTGGTAGGGATGCAACTACCTGAAAAATATATAAGGAGAATTTCGACGTTTCGAGCGAAGGCCCTTCGAATTCGTTCGCACCCTACTATTACTTTGTATATCCTACCATTACTGTTACCCTTATGTCCGTACCCTATTATTACTGTTACCCTTTGTACCCTACTAGTAGATCTCAGCTCACGAGCAATAAGAGGATTAAAGTTTCTAGTTCGTTTCTGACAAATGTTTTTAGTGCGAAATAGCAGTCTGCCATCTCCATCTACTTGTTATACAAGCACTTAAGGTTACAGGACATCCTTTTTGGCGTTTTGTGGAAAATCGCTACTGCGCGCTCAAAATCAGTCCAATTTTCATCAAATTTTCACCAAATGTTAGCCAGTGCATGCAAAATATGATAAAGTTGTAAAATTGACAAACAATAAAATAATGTAAGAATTATTCACGAAAATCTTAAGTCGCGGTACCTTTACGCTTTTGAGTTATGTTCCTGCTGGTTTTAAGATATATTTATGAGAATATCATTTTTATACAGTAAAATAGTTGTTCTAAAAAATGGTGTTCGGAAATTTTTGTTTATCTCGTCATTCCGCTGATATGGCAATTTCTTTGACGACTGCAATATATTTCTGAATCGTTTGTGTGAATTGCTCTTTATTATTAAAATATCCAAAATTAGAAAAAAGCCGAACACAATTTTGAAACTGACGTCTTTAGCTATGTCCTGTGAAAATTTGAGAAAAATTCGTTAAAACCCGCAGGAGCACAACTCATTTAGAAATCAGTAAATGCCGTAAAATTCTTCGGGAGAGAATTGAATTTGAGTGTTACATTTTCAATGTTTTTCTTATTGCAAGCGAAATGTATTTTATTATATAACTCTGTGAGTTTTCAACATTTTTCGTTCAAACTTGGTCAGATAGTAGACCTAGTCTAATGCTTTCATGGTAACCAATAAAAAAATTTTAGGCAAAATTAACACTCAAAGGTGTTCTGTAACCTTAATGGTTGAGGTTCTTTGTAGATATGCAAACCAATTAAATCTCAATGACAATGATTTGCCATTATAGTCTTAGATTCAAGCAATGTTACAGTGTTCCCAAACAATCAGGATATTTTATGATGCAGTAAATTTAAATCAGTTACATTCGTACAAGTTTGTTCAAAGTTGAAAGTTCGTTCTGTTCTTCTGCAGACTCTGAAATGAAATTCTATACCCGCGTGAGAGTCCTTGCATCCCAATCACGAATCACGGAGACAACCAACGAAAATGTCATTTGTGTCGCAGCCAATCATATTGTTCACTGTACGTTCAGACTGGGATGACCAATCAGAAGCGCGGAATTCCTAAAGGTACTCACTATATTTCACATGCGTTTGAACCGCGTATTGTTGAATATCGTCACTCGTAGGGTAAAGCGTAGAATCGTCTCTGCTGGCATAAAATTGATCTACCAGCGTTTTTTCACCATGCCCGGATCACAAAGATTTGAGAGAAGGTAAGACTTAACGTTCGATGTATTTTGTCGTATTTTGGAGATTTTTCTAAAATTTGTAACCGAATGATTATTTATTATAATACTATATGTATATATTAACATTGGCATAAGGCATCGATTGACTATCTGGAATCGATAAAACAATTTAGAATAATAACACGGCGACATTCAATGATGCATGTTTGGACTCTTGAGTCTTGTGTTGATTACTACGATTTATATGATAATGCCTCAATATACCCGAATCATCGATTCACAAGGGGATTGGTTACCGTATAGTACTGAGAAGGTTAATTAAATACTGATCTAACCAGACCTACATTACAAATACGTGTAAATGTAATCAGTGAAAGAACCTATAAAGCGTGAGTAGTAGGACTGGCTTTTTATTACTCCTGCGTTCATATTACAATATAATTTTAATATAGCACCAACAGTCGACTCCGAATAACATAAGTTCACATTTATAGTCTATTCATTATAGGTCATATATACGTATGTGCAAATTCTTATAGGTGTAATTTTATGGGGGCGCATATGAACAAACGCAAATAACAGTTACAGTCGAGTTTTGGAACATCTAGCTAAACTTTTAAGTGAATTAACAATCCCGTCAACCATACATTAAGCAGTGCATATGTAAACATTGAAATTGACCAATCAGGGATGAGGTCCAAAGTTAATGCGGAACGTTACGCGACATTTAAAGCAGTGTTAAATGGAAGGCTGTTGATTTGAAAGTTCCTCTATGTTTATAGCTAAATTTGTCAGCATTCAGCTTTCTTTTTACTCTTTCGGATTCTAAACGAGCACTTTACTATGTATGTATGTACGTCTTTAACGTTGTATTTGTGGTAGGGATATACACGCATACATGCTTATGCATATTATGCGTATGTGTAGTTGTATCTGTGTATTGTAGTGTATTTGTGTATAGTAGTGCATTTGTGTATAGTAGTGTATTTGTGTATAGTAGTGTACTTGAATTATATAGTAGATAGTTACTAACCCAGCTATATAATGCACCCAACTAGAAGATAATTCTTAAATCGAAGACAAAGAATATTACCATAGTAACAAATTGCATTGCATTAGCATAGTTTACGAACCGTAAAGGCGAAGGGGATTCCCCTAATTCCATCATTTATCCAAAACCAATACACCGTATATTATATATTTTTTCATACATTATTAATATTTCCATTTCTCTATCTCTTACAGTATATTTAATTTTAAAATTGTTTTCGGAATTTTTATAATTGCCAAGTTCTCAACCCATACAATTTAAAGTACGCACACTAGAAGTCATCAGTTGACTAGCCTTAGGCTTAGTTAAGTTATCCCCCTGCATGGTACTGCTAATAGTCTGCTATACGCAGACTAATTATTTGGTTCCATGCCGTTTATTATTTATTAAAAATTTTAGTTTAAAATTATTGAAGGTAATTATTTTGTGCTTCAACTATATATGTTTATACTATATACACTTATTTTTCAGAGCGGTGTGGATTATTATAGGCCTGATTGTGTTTATGAGAACCGGTCGCCTTCGCTCTATAAATGGAACTATTTGGGAATATTGCATAGAATTGTGTATTGTAGTTGTGATATCAGGACCAGGCGCAAATGGTTTGGAGACCATATGCACGACTCAATATGATGGTAAGGTATTATCATATGTATACTTCATCTATAAATTTTAAAAGATTTTCAAAATCTCAGTGTCAATCAAGTCAAATTTGCCATTTGACTGAATTTTTGGGCATCTAATCGCCAAAAAAAAGATTTCTAGGCTTACTGAAATTGAAGTGAATCCAACTAACGAAGTGAATTCTCCATGTTATTGATATCCTTTAATATGAATAATTATATGCTCGTTATAAACTTAGGAATGATACTTAAAATAAGATACATGTATGTATTATAAAGGGACAAGTGTCGCCAACTACACAAATACAGCCAATATGTTATGCCCGCGTGGGACATAACGCTTGAGGCCATTTCCAATGGCAATGGCAATGACTATAAAATTGAAAAAATACTTCGTGATCACCACATGCATAGGCCAAACAACCAGATTAATTTACATTCGTATATATTATAATATATATTCCTTTGAATATTTTTAACTCTTATAGAAAGGGAACCAATGGACTACATTCTCGATGAATTGTGAATGGCCAGGATCCATGGGACCACTTAAACTGGAGAAAAATGTTATACAGTTTATGAAGAGAATTCATTTCAAAATTACAGATGATTTGATTAAAAACAAAAAAGTGCTTGCAAGTCATTAAGTATTTTAGTTTCGTGAAGAACAGTATTTTAATAGGTATTTTGTGAATCAGTGTAATTGATTGTAAAACTTGTCTGTACTCTATAGTTGTAAGACTTGTAATTAGTAATTGGTGCACATATAACGTTTTAGCATATTATGCTATAGTCAAATAGAAACTAGTTTAATTCGGTTTAAGTAAGACAATAAATTCTACGACAACAGCCTAAGTACAATCTTCGACACAACTCATGCGGCCAGCATGCATGATATATAAGTATAGGTATAACCACCCTTACACATATTTTACTTTTACTGCAAGCAGCAAACCCCAGGCACAAAACCTGTTACTCTCCTCTCCCCGTACAATGTCGTTTGATCAAATGTTTGTACTGTATACTCAGATAACGATTTTTGCCCACCAACATTGTTTTAAAGAGGGGAGTAATTTTTTGACAATAAATGTTTCATATAATTTAAACGCAGGAATGTTTAACATGCTTGTCCGAATAGTTATGTCTAAGATTGCAAGTACAAGTAGCTCTTGCAGGGGCGTAGGAACCGGGGGAGCACAGGGGGCACGTGCCCCCCTCCGTTCCCCCAATTTTTTCAAAGGACCAAAAGTGCCCTTTTTTGTGATGAAAAGTGCCCTTTTTGTACAAGGTAATATCGCTGTAAATACTAAATTAACATCAAAGGTGCCCTTTTTGTTTGGAAATTTCGATAGTTTGAAAAAAAATTTGGTCAAAAACGTGCAATTTCGGTATAGTATGACCTGAAAATTTTTCTTCCTCTCCCCTCTCCGTCGCCAACATTTCCGGAAAAAATTTTTTAGCTGCACTTTTCGATATCCCAAAGTGCCCCTGGAAGCCAGTGCTCCCCCCCTCCCCCAATCTTTTGATGCTTCCTACGCCCCTGAACTCTTGTGTAAATTGTGATTACAATTATCAAATTAGAATTATGTCACTATCTAGTATATACACAAATATATATCATCAATCAAAAGTTATAACTGCATGCATTTAAAATTACTATTTTGTAAGTATATTCATAGTAAAAATAGAATGCCAGTGATTACCATAGTTGTGAATTGAGTATAAACAAATGGCAAGCGGCACCCAAGAATGTAATCCAAATTTATTTTAATTGCCATTTATAAAAGTATGCTATAGGTCTACCTAACTATTAATAATTAGTTTAGTTCAATTAAATCGACAAAATATATTTGACGAGGCTAGCACTTTTACAAAAATCTGGAAATAGTGTAAGTCATGCAACTTGGGCAATACAAAACACTTTGCCATTACAAAAACCCAGGTTGCTTCATTTCGATTGAAAATTCACGTTTTCAAAACATTCAGAAATTTGTGCTGGGTGATGCCGAGTACTCAGTATTGACATCTTTCGACACTTGCACCGGTATCTTTCGATACTTGCAACTTTTTTCAGTAACTTGTTAAACCACTGAAGCATTTTTTAATGTTCAAAATGTGGTAAATCAACTAATTATTTCTTGCATTTTGGGCTGTTGGTTTAGACTTTGTTGCAACTTTTTTTAGGTTTTTTAGGTTACATGTAAGCGGCATTGAGAAATGTATTTTCACTGACCAATAGTGAGCAATTTAAGTACTCATTTCCGGTATCAAAAATAAGAATATAGTGCTCATTTTAGTATCAAAAATAGGTATTGGTATCAACTAATACCAATCTTCTAAGTAATCGGCATCAGTATCAAATTAACTAGAAATACATGCATGCAACAACTCCTTACTCACATTTTGCAAACATTGATTAGGCCACATAAAAAAAAATAGTTGGTTAGCGTCCTCGCCTGCCACAAAAGGCCCCACTCAGGATTTGTTTTTATTTTTTATTTTAAAAAAAAACAACTTTTATTGAGCAACGGGCTCTAATATATGTAGTATTTCTGTTGACTGTAGTCAATTGTGTTAAAAATTGCGAAATTGCGTGCGAACATGTCGGTATAAATATTTTGAAATATATAAAAAAATATCTGTACTGCGCAAGAAAATCCAGTTTCGGACCTAAAACCAAGGCGTTAAAAATTAGTAAAAATTAAAAAAAAGCGCCCGCCCACTTTTTGGCAAAAGCTAAGGACGCTAACCAACTATTTTTCAGTATGTAGCCTTAAACATGAAGTATTCTTAATTACGCCAACACTGAACGCAGGCTCGCGTTGCTCACGTTATGTTATCCATGGCAACACGATCATTATTTTTTAGAATTTTTCACTGAAAACAGCAAAAATAAATTAATGTTTTATATCTGATTATATCTTTATTTAGTTATATAATCATATATCAAGACAATCTCGTACCCAGAGCATACCCGTTCGCAGGTTAGGGTTGGCCTGCGACCGCGCATGCTCTGGGTACGAGGTTGATATCAAGATTTTTATGAATGTATCAAAGCTCTCGTTTGTTTATTTGTATAAGTTACAACTTACAATAGGGTTAACACCATAGAGATTATAAATAATACTAGAGGGGGCATCGTAATCTTAATTCAGTCAAAGAAAGGGAACGCGGCTATTGGTGGGAGGGGGGAACAAAAAATTAAAATGCTAAAATTAGAGTGACTTTGAGCTAAAATCTCTAAATGCTTGTTTATGGTAGTTAAGTGGTCCCGTTTTGATTTTTACCAAACATTTTACCTCAATTTTGTCTATAACACACTTTTGAGAGCGCTCCAAAATAATGCTGATGTCAGCAATTTTGATCTTTCAAGAGGAGATAATCGCTTGAATTCAAAATTTGGGGTGGGGAGATTATTATAGTAATGACATGCAAAACATATAAAACACCCAGTTTTGTGACTATTGCTTTAAATCTTTCTGGTTTCAAGTGTAACCCCAAAATTGTGTGGTGTTCATCCGGGACATTAATTTGCCCCCATTACCGCGCTCCCAAATTTCACCCTCGATGCCCCCGTGTTATTTATAATCTCTATGGTTAAAACTGAATCTCTCTGGTTCAATAACAAACCAAACAACGTTTAATGCACAAACTTTGAATGAAATAAACCGGTATAATTATTAAATGAAGTGTATCGGCTTCTCTTAATTTGTCTAATGATTTTCAAACAAAATATGATTGTACCTCAGTGCTCAGGGGGATATACATTACATTTTAGACTAGCCAAACAAGCTAATGAAAACCTGAAGAATAGCACAATAAATCATCTCTCAGTTGAAGCATGAATACACTAAAGTAATTCGGACTAGTTCAACATAAGTTTGTTGAATTCCTACCTACTTCAACCAGCGGCGCAATATATATTCAACGCTCTCCCTGCTTCTTTTGTTAATCTTGTCAGAGCGTAAAGTTTTCCCATTATTTAAACCCACCAGCAAGATTGCAACCCATCCATCCTATAATCTAGTGTTCGTGAACAGACCGCGAGTGATATCTTTCGTATAAACGTACTGAAAAGTTTATAAAATTATTTTAAAAGGCGATAACTCTTAAACAAAGAGTTCAGCACTGTAGTTATAAACCGCCCAAGATCTCACAGCCTCCTTTCGCGAGCTTTGAAAATTTGAATAACAAATCATGTGATCTTTTCAAATCAATTTTTTTTCAAGATTATATAACTATTCTAATGAATTGCTTGCACTAAATCCCACCATTGTTTTCCAATTTATGCATAGCCTGGACAGTAAAAGTGCCAAAACCATCATTGGGACTAAGACCATTGACATTGTCTTTTATTAGTCTCGGGCGGAAACCTTGTCAGTCAGGTAATAAGTCATTGGCTTGAAGGCTGTATTTCATGGATAAAAGATTCGAGCTATATATACCTGAGTGAAATACCGTAAACATAATATCCGCAATACTATTGAATTAAAATTAGAAAAACAACATAGTAATGTCATCCTGGGCTAGCTAACCAAGATTTGGTATACAAATTTGGTTCATTTAGTGAGCTGGGCCATTTATTTCGCTCATTTATTGTTTATTTATCTATTTTACAACCGTATGAAAATAGAAATGTAAATACATGTTTAAAGTATGGTTTAAGGTGTGGTCAACAGGACATGGCTCCCATTTGAAGACTAACTAGACAAAAGTTATAGAACTACAGGAAAAAGAAAAGATTTAAAACAAAAACAATAGATAATTATCACATGATTATAATTAAGAAAAATAACTTAAATGACAAGAACGAAATTTAAATTTGAAGAGTAATGAATGTGATGTTGGCGTTTAAAGGAGGAAACAGATGTACTGCTACCGTCATAATCTACTAATCAGAGAGGCTGTACATTAAATGCATGAAACAGTTAGTTTTTAGGAAAAGACACATTCAATTTTATATTTTTTCTCTAATTTTACATTGTAATAACAAAAAAAATTATTTTTGAACTATACAAATTAGTCAACAGAAATCTAGACATGAGCGTTCATATTTTCCATTAATATAACGTTTATGATCTTTCAATAATTTCAAAAAGGTAATGAGACTTTCTACATAATTAGATTTTCTGCAAAATTGCATCAAGAAACAGGTAGTAGTGAATATAGATGCATTCAAATAATGATTTAAATTATGCATTTACGTTCTAACTAAGTTATTCGCCTACAGTAGCATAGTTTGGTTATTTGACCAGGATATCCTGGTCAAACTAACCAGATTATAGTACGGTTAAAATAATCTGGATTTTCGACGAGTAACATTATTAAGTTAACCCGAATAGAGTTATGTTTACATGCAGGTTTACCGGAAACATTTTCACCAGAGTGTTTTAGAGTATATAGATAGGGCTATCCACCGCACAGTGATTTATTCAAGCTTTTTAATACCATTTGTGGACTTATATAACATACAGTCTTGGATAAAACATCTGCGACACTTCCAATAACCAAATTTTGTAATATTATCACACGTTCAGTGCCTGCATTCAACGTTGATTGCATTACCATAATACGGTTAGAGCAATTGTAATACGTCCAACACTGTTTTTGGGGTGCGGGAAGGGAAAAGTGGGGAGGCGAGTGAGTTATTATGGTCTAAAATAGTAAAAAAATATGCCACAGAGGAATGTTTTAATAGAGTGTCGCAGATGGTTTTGACTAGGATTGCAAACTTTAGTAGTTCCATACATTAAAAATTCATATCTGTAGTTTTGTAGCATTTCAAGCATTTTCATAACGGCTGAAGAATTTCTCTTTTGTGGATAGCGCTATCTGGCCTTCGTATGACCCTTCCTAAGTCAATTATATATATATATATATATATATATATATATATATATATATATATATATATATATATATATATATATATATATATATATATATATATATATATATATATATATATATATATATATATATATATATATATATATATATATATACCGGGTGTCCCAAAAAAAGTACTCCTGTTTGATTCGTAATAACTGCTAAACAAGTAAAGCTTTTAAAGAGAAATAACTTGCATCAAGTAGAGGAAGGACTAAATTAGATTTTGATATATTACAGATGTATTTCACTTAAAAATTCACGGAGATATTAATCTTTAATATCGGGAGCATATTTCTGGATGTGTCTGAAATATGCAAAAAACGGCGTATCAAATATTAATCAAGATTTGCCCGACTGAAACATGCACTATTAGCAGTAAATAAATGACACTTGACAAATTGTTTATTATGAAACAAAGTATTATTATTTCTACAAAATACAAGCAAGATTTATTCGT